TGAGACCCTAAAATCTTACTGAAGACAGCATCTGAGAATTCTAAGTCTAGCAAGACATTTGCTCTACTCCTCTAGATCTATCTGCCCAGAAAGTTTCAAAATTTTCTGATGTACCGTTCTCCAAAAACGCCGGAAAGGGGGGTGGTGCCCTTAACGGTTACACTCTGTCAAATGTGCTGTATAGATTTACAAAAGATTAATACTGAAATATATATGTCAAACTGAACCGCTTTCAAGGAAAATATGAAGGTTTCGTAGCGGACCTTTTCAGCTCGAACCATTTTTATTGGAACTCTTATTTTCGAAAACAAATAAATGGTTCCATATCGAACCGAAGGCTAATGGACGAATTCAGCATAATTGTTTCAATGTATATATATATAAATTCTCAACATAAATTAATACCGTACTGTATTCGTCCGTCACACCGTATGCCACAGATTACACCGGAAGAACATTTGACATTACACGCATCCGTAAAAAGTATTTATACTTTTTCAAAATTACGTCAGCTACATGTTACGGTTAATGATTTATTGAATTGGGATATTTCGATTGATTTGTCTGAAAAATATGAAATAAATATATGCGATAAACTTTTGTATTTTAGCTTTGTAATCGTTTTTAACAATTTTGTTTTCAAATCTTGAAAATGAGTTCATGTGAACTCGAAACGTCGAAAGAAAATAAATTTATTGAAACCGCTGTAAAAATAACTTCTACTGATGAAATGTATCTGTCTGATGCGGATCTTAGTGAAACGAAATTTTTATAATTGTTCTGGTGTATGGTTCGCTTCAGCTTGTGCTTACACACTTGATTCGTATGATTATTTCAGCAACTTTATACGCGAGAGATTCCGAGAAAGAACTAGATCAAATCCTATAGACGTGATTGATGTTATAACAGGAGCATGTTATACAGGTTTAAATTGCAACCGTCACACATGTCTTGATTGCAGAGAAATTTGTGATAGAAAAGTTGATTGTTTAAATGATGATGATGAAGAAAATTATCGGCAAATGTAAATTATTACTTTGACGATTCTAGTCTAACTGATTTCTTTGTGCCAGTTCTTACTCCTGCACAATGTTCTATTCTACCAGCGTTAAATAAAAACATCTCCTCGTCAAATGTCTTCTATAACTACTAAAATATTTAAAAATACTTTTAGTCAACATAAGGATGTGCATTTGGATGCAAAACTAACATGAATATTGCGTTGTTTTTGTCGAAATCAACCGCTTTTTGAGAGAAATAAAGAAAAACATTAATATTTTTCAAACGTGTAGTCCTACTGACATATTTGTGACCTAATCTATCTTTTCTTTTCAGATTAGTTACTATACACAGGTTTCAGAAAAATATCTTTAGTCTTTCTAGTACCATGGTCGAGCACTTCTGGCTTTTGTTTTCGTGCACGCCAGAAGTACTTGATTCACTTGTTTAGGAGAAGAGATCTTCTTTCTTCGCCGCCCGCCTTGGATGAATTGTACAGGGTGATCCAAAAAACCTTACCCCCTGTGTATTTATTGACTTTCTTGTGTACAAATATAATTGAACTTTTTACCATTAGTTTATTCGAATAGAGCAAAGATTTCTGGACGAAATGAGACGTATCCGAGCTCTCGAAGAGCTTTTCTCATGAAACAGCATTCTATTTACGGAAGGTCCCATATCACCAAAATCGGGACAATTAATGGGCAAACAAGAAAAATATGCTCTTGGAACCTTCCGTAAATTCAATGCTGTTTCATGGAAAAAGTTCTTAGAGAGCTGGGAGACGTCTCATTTCGTCCAGAAATCTTTGCTGTATTTGAATAAACTAATGGTAAAAAGTTCAATTATATTTATACACAAGAGAGTCAATAAATACACAGGGGGTAAGTTTTTTTTGGATCACTCTGTATATATCAACTGGCCTCTTCGCTAATAGCCACCCTGGCACCTCCCAAATTGTGTTTGTTATTGAACACCAGGATGCTTGTGAAACATATACTTTTATTACGTATTCATGGTTGTTCCACTTGCTGTTGACAGAGACAAATGACAGTTGATAGAGAATGGCACCCTTCAATACTAAATGCCAATAGTCAGTGAACTAGACAGTTTTTATTATCATTGTATCGCAAGACCTAGAAGAAAAAAAGTTAACTGAGAGGGACGAATGAATTCCCGCTATGACGAATAATTGAGCCATTAATTTCTGTACAATGTCAAAACCAAAACTACCATAAAGTAAACAACAAATTGACCAAATTTCGTTGATCAAATGATTTCTATACCTGAACATAACATGTGTGGAATAATTGACTAAACAAGTGTTTCCTTGGTTGTTAATGATTATTGTAGTTGACAATAGGGTCGGAGCCGTTGAACATGGACCTGTTTGACATCCGACAAATTCCTGGAGTCTTGTACAATGTAGGATAGTTGACCACGTTTTTGAGTAATTTTATATGGTCCATCATTCTTGGATGCTAATTTTGGTCTCATTCCAACCCTTGCTACGCATACATAATCGACAACATCATAACTTGGGTTTCTTTTGTTTTGATTATATCTACTTTTTGCTCCCTGCTGTTGTTGTTCAATGTTTTGTTGAGCCATTTGGTTTGCTTGACTAATATATTGATGAAGCTGTTTAACATATTCACATGGCTGAACGATACTTGTTGGTGTTTGTTGTAGATCAAATGATAATTGACAATGACGGTCATACATCACTGTAAATGGTTCAATTTTTGTTGTTGCATGACGAGTATTATTGTATGCCGAAACTGCTTTTGACAATTGTACATCCCAATCAGTTCAATTTGTGTTTGACAGTGCAGCTATACTATCATACAGGGTGGTAAATAATATTATTCAAGAGGGCTAACGCTATAATTCTAAATCGGAGATATAACGAATTTTATACCAAATGAAAGCCCGTGAAAAATGGGATTTAGTGATGCTAGATAGTAAGACTTTGAAGGACTTTCGTGCATTGAATTATCGAAAGTTACGACTTCTTATCGACACAAAATATTATAGCGGGTGTGCCATAATAAACTGGACTAAATGTTACTGCATATTATTCGTACTTTCTCTTCAAATAAAAAGTTCCTTTATATACCAAAAGATAGAAAATTGAATTCTCTACAAAACCTACTATCTGAATCTCTGAGAGCATTTTTCTTGTTTGAGCATCATTCAAAATATTGAAGGGTGCTGAGCTCGAACTGCGACGTGCTTTTGTCGTCTCGGTTTTTTTAGCCCATTGTTTGAGGTTCAATAGTTAATTTTTCTAGGTAGACAGATAGAGAATTTTTCGCTCTATCGATCTCACTCATTTACAACCTCATGCAATGTTTCCACTACGTTAGCTGGCCTCATAATTAGTTTTCAACCGGCTTTTCAATTTTTTCAAATTAAATTAAGTTTTTTAATTAATGGTTTCAATTGAGAAACTTTGTTTATGTATCAAAAGACACAGAATTTAATTCTAGGTAAGATAATAAGACAAAAACCCTGGATTCAGAACATTTTACTGCTTTTATAGACGTCTATGAAAAATAGGTTCAAAAGTTAGGTTTTTTTAGATTTATCAGCTTTTTGCACAGAGAAATTTTTCTAGAAGATTTAACTGCTAAATTTTGAAAAATATGTGAGAAGATGCAAAATTTTCCGGTGAATCTTCTAATGTTTTCAAAATTCTTGTGGAATCTGTTTTTAAATCAAGGCAAATGTTTTTCTATTTTCAGTGTGCCGCAGTTCGATAACTCAGCGCCCTTCAATATTTTGAATGGTGCTCAAACAAGAAAAATGCTCTCAGAGATTCAGATAGTAGGTTTTGTATAGGGGGTATTGGTCAATAGACTCGACCTGTGATGCAAGCTCATTAACATGAACAGATATGTGAACAAGGTGTCTAAAGGTGAAAACTCTCGGGTGTCATCCGTCAATGATTATCACCCAGAAATTGACAACAAATAAAAGGGAATACTTTTTCGAGTCGATTGACCAATACCCCCGACAATATTTTGCCATTATAATCACATTGTGTATTGGGTGTAGCAACTGTTGGAACGGCTCTTTATCCATTGAAAGAAGAGATGAACTATACCTACACCTTGTATTCACGTGTTCCAATTGTGGAAACGTCACCGATTTACATTCATTACCTAAGTTACAGGTGTATGTCTCTGTACGTGCTCATTCGATTCACCATGGTCGATAACCTATGATGAAGTGCTCCCAGTTTTTCCTTATACTATTTTATTAAGGAAAAAACACGATAACCAAAGTAAAAACTTGTTTTGCGTTTTTCTCGAAAGTGTTTTTTTATGTTTTATCTGTTTTTTCTGTATTTCCAAGATTTCTCCACCATTTTGAATGCTAGAAAGCTCCGGGCTCTTAAGCCCAGCTGTTCTTAAAAAGGTACAGGTGGCGTTAGCGCAAATATTTTGCTGAGCAGGTCAAATAAATGAGGAAAAAAGTTACTATTCTCGGCTGTAGAACCGAAAAACTTCTCCATACGCAACATGATATTTAAATGCACTCGGCTACAACGCACACATCGCTAGAGTTTCTCAGTAAAGACGGTCTGACAAGTGTATAAGAATTTAAGAGAGATTGGAGGGATTTTGGAGCATTATCATGGATTATGGATATTTTACGCGAGACCAGGAGTCGATGTGCGCTTACTTTAGAATTTTTGAGAAGCGCGAGGGTGATTTAGAGAAGTGCCCGGCAAAATCGGTATCTTCTCAAGTCACTGCTATATTCACGAATCTGTAATCATTTTTATTTGACCGAAGAAAGTTCTTTTACTGTAAACGTGAACTTGTGAGGGTTTTTTGTAATTTCCTGTCAGATAAAGTTGCGCCTCACTTCTGCGAAAAAGGTAGTGAAAAACACTCTTGAATGGAAAAAATTTAATAGAATCGGCACAAAGCTGTAAGCAAACTTTCGAAAAGATGATGGCAGAGAACGTGCGGACCGATGATCTACCAGTGAAGAAAAATTCACGTACATGGATGCAAGGAAGCGGTGGAAAAAAACGACGTTATTTACAGCTGAGTAAAGAGGCAAGAGCTCAATCCAGAGCGCTTCTGCTTCTTTTAATCACCAGTTAATTACTGAAGAAGAAAGACCACCGCACATCTTCTCTCGTGTAACATGGTTCTGTGCTAACAATGACTCAGTCTATGCTTCTCAGGATGTTTGGCGACATGAGGCAAGGTGAGAGGAAGAACGTCAAGTGTTGTTTATGTTATCATAGTAAAAGAGGATGATGCTTTACCTTACAATTCGATGACCTCTGATCGCAAGCATCGATCCGCCCTTCATTAGTTGATATATACTGGAGTTATCTCTGGTGTCTCAATACAGACCCTGGTCGAGCGGAAGGATTTTGCATTTGTCTTCATTAAATTTCTCGCATAAAAACACGTACTTTTTAAAAGTTTTCATCTCGATTGGCTGAAATACCAAGGGATTTTTCAACAAAAAACAATTTCAGCCATTTTTCAGTCGAATGAATTACAACCGATTTTTAGAAAATATGTTTGTACGAGGATTCAAGTGGTACAGCACAATACACAAGTATTTTATATTTTAAAATTCTGAAAATTCTAAGATATATAGTGTTACAGAATACGGAGACAACAATTGAAGTTATCATTGATGGCAATGGAAATGGAACTATGTCAAATTAATTAAACCACCCTAAGGAGATGAAATTTGATTCTAGTTGGAATTCGTTTGTAGCCGATACGGAAAACAATCAAATGCAGAAATTTTTATTAATACAACATCCTGTTTATAGCTGAAGGACATGACCAAACGAGGACAAACTTATTGTTTTTGTTACTTTAAGCACAGACAATTGATTACACAGAAGTATATCTATACGACGTCTAAAACCTTTAAACACGATAATTTTTTGATTAATTACTAATTTTAAGCTCTTGTAGAAGACGCATTTCCAGGTCCTAAGTTAAATATTATGTTTCGATAGACTGCCATAAATAGACTCGTATAAATAGAGTGATACAGAATGTAATTGCACAATTTCAATCGATGTGCATCATTTCCGACAGACCGGCAAAGTTTATTTTTGCACTTTTGTGCAGAAGTGAAATTTGTTCGGTTCTGTCTTGTATATGTACATGGATTGTCCTTGTGTGATACTAGCTGCATATTCATAGCGTTGAATATTATACTAGCCCAAGAAAATGAAAGACTGCCATTTTAGCTGGAAGTTTCTGCCACCTTCAACGTCGTCTTTTACAACGAATATACACTAACTTTTTTTGAAAACTGCTCTGTTGGTTACAACTTGACACGCATCGAGTTGAGCCAAGACTCGAAAGCCCGACCTTCTAGTGGATTCGGTTTTTTTTTGCGAAATTGAAAATATTGCTGAGAACTTCTACCGGAAGCATTTATGAAAGATGAGTTCAGCGGGGTAAGTATAAAACGCTGATTTTCTTTCGCAGATCGCTGAGTGACGCTGATTGGATGTAGAAAAAAAACAAAAACCGCGTGAGTTATGACGCTGATCATTGATTCAATCAATTTACGGAGCACTCAGTAAACACCTTTACGACGTAACTTCATTGAGTATTTAGTGAGCAGTGCAAGACTCAACCACCTAGAGAGACCCAAGTTTTTCTTATCTAGCTATAGGCAGAAGTATATCATAGATATTAGACGTAACTACTGATCGTCTTGTTTACTGAAATATGTAACAGATAACATAAATAGTGTGGCAAAATAAATAAACGAACGGAATCCGTTTCTTTTTCATACTAGCGTGATTGTCATCACTGCTAATTATTTAGACCAACAAGGTGCTCGTTGATCTGAAATATGAATCCAGAAGCGTGTATCATCTCTTACATTACCATAAGCCCAAAAAGACCAAGCACCTTGTTTATACGTTGAAGTAAGTCCGTAATTTGTCCATTCTTTACCTGAATACCGTGTATTGTTCATACCAGGTATCAATCGTCCATCATGAAATGCTGCTGTTACCCATCCAACTCCGAACGACCCTTTGCAGAACAGGTCAACATCTCTCAAATTTTTAAATTGTGACCCCTGGACGGGAACTGTGGTTGCTACATGTCCCATTAGCCAGCCACCGTTCAAACTTGGATTGCGCGTTATTATTACATAAGCTGGACGTGGTGATGAATCAATCCGTTTACAGAGAACAGGCAATTTTCTACTGCAATCTGTGTCACCTGTATAGGGATCACAAACATTTGGCCCATCACCACAAGCAAAGCCATCAATACCAAATTCAGCTTGATGAATCGTTTTTCTGAATGTCAAACCCATTCGACCTAGAGTGTTTGACAAAGATATCGCAAATTAGAAGAGTCTTTTCACTCGATTTGCAGTCGTACTAGTGATGAGCGGGTTTAACTTTTTTAAACCCGAACTCGTACCCAAAGCCGAAAAAACCCGAAGTTGTTTGAACATGAAGAACCAAAATATTTTGAAACTGCATATCTCTATTAGAATTAGAATCAGGAGAAATAATTTTATTTGTCGTTGAAAACTTTGAACACGTCGTTAGTCCGTTATAAGGTGACTTTTCCTTGGTCCAGTTTGGCCAGAACTAGGTTCACTTTTCTTGGAAAAGTAAAATAAACTGAATCAGTCTGTTTGGAATTTCTTTTAGAAATAGAGTCTATGCCTACTGCTTCTGAAACAAAAAGAATATTTGAAACGATTTTAATAAACGCACGTTTGAGCTGAAGTTTTAAAAAATTTGTCACTCATAGAAATTTTGGAACCTGTGGCGGACGTTGTACGTCTGAGTCATTGTCTGTTCGCTTCGATTCAAGTCATTTGTTTTTTATTAAAACTCGTCAAAGGAAGGAAGCAAATACAAAAATTTGTCTAGCCAAAAGATTCTTCGGATTTTTCGGCAAATGTTTTTCAAACCCGAACCCGTTCATCAGTAATTCGTACATACCGTTAGCTGATGTAGCAGCGCCATCAAGTAATAGTGCTGTGAATAAGAGTACGAGAGCCATTTTAGTGTGAAAATGCGTTAAATGAAAAAATTTGAAAAATAAATGAAACGAACACGGTATCTCTGTAAATATCTGTATTTTTAAATCGATCATAATAATAAACATGATTAGACAGAGACAATAAAAATTGTAATAAAAAAGTGATCAGTTAGACAAAACAACATATTTTACTTCCGTCATCTGACTTTTTTCATTTTTTTGTTACTTACCTATTGTTTACTACCTACTGTTTTTTTACCTACTGTTTTATTCTATCACAACCATAAATCACATGATTGCCCTTCATAAAATCATGAATTTAATTGCAGACACTTCCTGCTGAAAAAAAAGTAGTAGTAAAAGACACTTCGTACTGTTGACTCGCAAAGATAATCGACTACCTTTTATGTCTTTTCTTCTCAAATAAATCAATGAAAATGATACGAAAATACATTGTACTTCAAGAACGCAACTTAATATTAGATACATAGGGATTAAAAAGCTTAGATAATCGGCGAAACAGTGCGCGATCGAGGAAACGACAAGAGCAAACATTAAAAAGTGATCAAAAACAATGACAGAAAATCAAAATTAGCCAAGCATGCCCTCAACGAGCGACACTTCGACAAAGTTCAAGCGACTGGCCTCGGCGCGTGGTGAGGGAGAGTCTGCTTACGCAAAAGGCCTCCGCACAACGATCAACGAAGTCGAGCACTCTGTCCGTGTTTTGGACTAAACTGCCCTTCTGGGGGCATTTTCTTGCGGCGATTACGCATCATCCCTTCTTTAAAAGAACAACAGAAAGAGCAGATGATGGATCTTGAACATCATTGAAAATTCCACCAGAGCCATATGATGCGTTTAGGATGTTCTCGAAAATCTAACTGTGTAAATAAATATCAAGTACTTGTGTATTGTGCTGCACTACTTGTACAGAATGTAGAATTATTGTTATTGAATTTTTTTGTTGTATACTTGTTTCTTGATAACATGAACCATAACAAATATCACTTTTGGAAATAATTCCTAATGATTTAATACACCAATATTACGAGTACAATTGATTGTATTTGTGGACGAACATCAAGATTGATGTTTTGCTTTTTAATGTTCTATCGTACAATAAACGTATACTATTCATACATGTTTTAATTCCATATGTTGTTTTAACACATTGTTGATGACAGCTTGAACATAAATGTCGTTCTGTACGCGAAAGTGCACTCGCCGGGTAAGCGGAAGATATATGGTTCAATTCCACACTCGGGGATATTCTCTTCTTTCGTTCTGTTGGCTTTACATCTCGCTGATAACACTCGGAATGAGAAAAACATCATAACAAGCACACATTCCCCTTTTGGGATTTTTTTGATACTATCACCATGGTGATAGATCGTATCTGCGATCATATCTGCGACCTGTATTAGAAGTTTAAGCGCATATCTGAAATATATGTTACATTGAGATACAGGTAAAAACCTTCGAATAATCTCAGCACAATCAAACTGGTAAGTAGGTAACAGATTCTTAGAGACCACATGTGCTCCCTCCGCTCCCAATTGCAGAAATTTTAGATAGTCCAATCCGACCCAAAATGAGTAGCAAGCTTAAATATTATTCAAATTCTAATTTTGCCTATAACATTTATCTAATTTTTCTTGTTAGAAGATAAAAATTTGTGGCCATATAGCTGAAATTTATGTTATTTATCTATTATAACAGTCAGTTATTTGAAAATGTTATTTGATTTATGTTTTTTCATTAGTACCTCAAATATAGATAGTAATTTCCAATAGTTTTCCTTCCTTAGGTCCATGGTGCCATCATTGACACTCAGACTCAGAATTAGCTAGCTACTGCTTGAAGCAGTAGCTAGCGAGAAAAGTAAAGCATCCCTTGGCCTCGAGCACAAATCATGAGAAACATGTCGGCATGCTATTCTAGATGCTTAGACCTCGGTATTTCGGATTATAAATGCATTTTTTGGATTATAGATGGATTTGAAATCCAGAAGTCCAAAACAT